CCTGCTGATGGGAGGTGTGTGGGGGGGGGGCGCACAGGTTTGGATAAATATCCATCCCCTGGGGTGCAAGGGCACTATACAGCTCAAATAATGACGCAAATTAAATTGGATGGTACAATTAACACCCTGTAAATTATCCGCCTTCCTCCAGCGTGATGCAGCCGTCATACACCAGCACTGAGCACCCCTCAGCCACGGGGCCTTCAGCCAGGGCTGCACGGTAGGGAAGAGGGTGGTTAAGGTGCGGCTGAAGCCCTAACCGCGTCAGGACCTGGGACTGCACCCGGCAGGCTGGGGCCAGGTGCCCGCGTCAGCCCCAGGGCCACAGAAATGTCCCTCACCCCCATCAGTGCTGGACACTGCATGGCTCCGTGTGGGGACAGTGCCGGTGTGACCCCCAACCCCTCTCTGGCTCTCCTGAGCGGCAGTTCCTGCAGCTGCCCCATCTTCCACAATTTGCTAACCCTCGTCCGGTAAAAGGGCCAGTTCCTGGCTGCTCACAAAGCTCAACCCAAGTGGGGCCTGGGACAGGGATCCTCCTTACGAAAGATGGGTGGAAGCCGGGTTCCTAATGCCTAGTTAGTGTGTAAAGTTTTTTCTACAAAAGGAGAAATTCAAGGCTTTTTCTGGAGCCGTTTGGATTAATTCTCCAGTTCTGACTAAAGCACTTGAAAGCAATTTAAGCAAGAACTTTGTCGTCTCTTTTCAGCAAATGAACAGATAAGTGTCTTTTCCCACTGCCAAATAATCCCCTCGCATTCCCTCTGGCATAAGCGGGCAGTAATGCATAAGCACCCCTGACATAATGATGACTGAGAGCACAGACACCCCCTCCCCTTCATTTTCCTGAGTAATGTCTCCACAGAGTAGAAAATCACCATTAGAAACATATTGGTTTCCAATGTTCATGCAAATCGCTCAGCAATAAGGCGTTACATGGCTTAGAAAGGGAAGCCTTGTCATCATGCATTTCTTGCAATGAATAGTATATAAATAATGTCTTCTGGGGTTTCGTAATGGTCTGTAATTATTATTAGCAAATTGCTGCAAGCCCCCTTCAGCAGCAGCCACAGCCAATGCTGCTGTCGCGCAGGCTCCGCGGCTCTTGCCCAGTTGGGGCGGCCACCAAGGATGCTCGGCAGGGTCAGCGGGCCAAAAAGTGCGCCAGGAGGGCTGCCACCGGGAGCGTGCACCGGGAGCGCTCTCTGGAGGGGCCGCTTCCACACTCAGCCAAAGGGCTGGTGCTTTGAAAATACTGATCAAATATATGTGTTTTTGCTGCCTGAGTGCTGTAATGAAGGCTCCATAAGTATGAGCTGCGGAAGCCCCTCTGACGGCAGCGCTGCTGGTGTTCAATAGCAAAGGACTCTTCATGGTGGAGGACAGGACAAAAAAAAAACCACAAAAAAACCCCCAAAAAAAACCCACCAAAAAACCAGTCTGTAGCCAAGGGATGAGAAAGGAGAGCTGTTTTTTGGCCAGCAGTACCTGTGCGTAGCAGAGGTGTACCCTGTAAGCACGTGCACAGGACTCGGCTTCCCGTGAAGGACGAGTCTGGTGGAGTGTGAATGGCCCCGGCCCAGTCGGTCGGTGCTGCTCGCTGCGGGAACGCGCCTGTGACACGTGGGCTGAAACACTTGCAAACCTTAAAAATCTTTTACTGCATCTCTTTCAGGTGGCCTGCCCTTAATGAACGCTCATGAACGCTGACAAAAAGTAAAGCTGCTTTAATAAGAACACAATTCTGCAACCAACTTTTATTCTTTAGAGGAAGAGGTTAAAATCTTATTTTGCCCTGAAGCTGTTCCTTAGATCTACAAAAGCAATTTCCAGTAGTAGCCTGGCAGAATGCAGCCCGACAAAACGGTTCATTCTTTCCCTTTTAGCCCGCAGTCGGTGGCAGCATGTCCAGGGCGAGACCGTCCCCGTCACCCCGTGCAGCGGGAAGGGCTGGGGCCAGCGGGAGGTACCCACCCTCCGGGGGCAGCTGGGAGCCGGGGCCGGGGGGGTTGGAAACAGCATTGCTGAGGTTCTAGGGTCCCCCCAAATTAAGAATACAATCAGGCGAATGCGAGGTGTGAATTTGTAGGGTGCCTTCGTTTCAGTCACGGTGTGGCGTTAACACTTAAAAGTTTTGCCAAACAGAACTTGAGTCTGGAAATGTCGCGGGTTCCACACCCGGCAGCTGTTTCTGCGGCCGCGGTCCTCAGCGAGCTGTGTGCTGCGCGAAGGCAAAGTCCGCGCCGCGTTACCGCTTTAACTTACCAACTTACCAGCTTTAACACCAATGTCCCCACCGCATTTGGCCCAGACCTACAAAGCCATGCCACTTGCAACAGCTTGAATCTTGCCCAGCGGCTCTGGCTGCTTGGGCCCAGGTACCACCACCCGGAGAGGGCG